GGATTGATAAGAACAATTTAGCTTTCATTGTTACCATTATAGAGTTGATGAGGGGTGGGTGAGGGGGAGGTGATGTAAAACTATGTCCGCCTACCGGACAAGCTCTTCAGGAATCAAACTAGAGAGGCCTGAGTTGATCAAGTCGGAGAAGCCTTCCATTCCTTCGGGAATGAGGTTGTTGGCCCCTACCCATCCCACCCGCCTCCCAAGCCACCATTCCGTTTCGCGTTCAATCTGTCACTATGAACCTGAATGGAGGTAAAGTGCACGCTGCATTTCACGAATCGGATAGCTTAGAACCCTATATTCCCACTAATTGTATTCAACCTATGTAGTAAATGAATGTAAATGCTGTAATTTGAAAACTATCTGGACGCTAAGCGCCTCCAACGAGAGGACGGTCCGCAACATCCCGTCTGCGCTATATTTTGCAGGGGAAAGGATCTGTAGGAAGGGTAAGCCACCTCGCACAGTCGGAATAATAAGTGTCCCCCAACTCCGTTGCTCTGTTCGCACTTCAAAGTTGTGAACTGCCTCCCCGCTTCTTTCCCACTTTGAATATTGATCATTTTCTCTTTGGCTGCACTCTTTCGAGGTTTTTGTGATATTTTGCGGATGCGGCATGGGGTTAAATCTGCATACAGCGGGCTTCATTATGAGCGGCATTGCTCGGCAGTTTGGGTCATGCCAGTGACCGTGGAAACTTATTGCCCAGCCTTGCGGCAATTTGTGCGCCCCACGACCGTTTAAACTGCAAACCGCCTCTCTGTTCATTTCAGAAGCAGTGCCCAAGAACATGTGGATTCTGTGGCTCCACGTCATCCACGCCAAGAACAAATGGGTGAAAATCGAACGAATAATCAGTCTGACATGGACCGTGTATGTTGGTTTTTGTATATTTCCGTTTACTGATTATCATTTTTCCTTTTCAGATATTCCTGTAAATGCCAGCTGAAGTTTAGCAGCAAACTCAATGCAGATTATTCGGTTCTGATCTTACTCTATTGTATTCGGCTTAGCGGCGATTTTCGGCAAGCTTACCTTCCTAATAACGCGGCTGTGATAATTATTCCATATTATTTGTACTGGACCAAGATGGCAGAAATGAAATTTTGCGTTTTCGCGATTTCATTGTGTATAGCTTGGAGCATTTTCATGACATTGTCGCAAACTTTCTTTCATGGTGGAGGCTTTTGCTTGACTGTAGCGGGCTTTTGCTTGACTGCTGACATAGTTCTGAAGGGCAGCTGCACTAGTCAGCTACCAATGGACGAATCCCTTTACATGTGCGAGGTGCACAGCTGCAGTAGGTGAGTCAACTTTCACAAAAACGGTACGCGTCGATCGAGGAAAATGTATTTAGCGCCTGTCATGGGAACGCTGCTGGAAGGTCTGCGTATTCATAGGCCTTTGGGAGTCTCCGCTGGGCAGGGCGAACCATGCCCCTCAGCATTGCAACGCGCTACTGTGTCTGCACGCCTCCCACTTCGTGCTGCTATCTTACCTTAGAGTGAACCGTTTTCACTGTTACTGTGGAATTTTGGCATACTCGGTCGGCCGCTTTCCCCGGCTGCTAGCCTATGATCTTAAGTTCTTCTGTACGCGTAATAGAAATCTATAGCTTCGAGGCTTCTGTTTCTTGCGTGAGGAAGATTCCGTGTACAGGTTACAAGGGCTCAAGGAAAGTCGATCTTCGATGGATCCCAGAGAAAATTCAAACCAGAAGAGCAATTATTTAATTTTCGAAGCGACAACCACAAGTTCGTACAAGCAAAACGCCGACATTCTAGACCTTAGCAGTAGAACGCCAGGTTATGGGCACTTGCGATAATCCATCAAGCGTTCTATATTTGATGTCATTGCAGAGCGTAGGCCGACGCTGGGGACCAGTCAGACGGTTTCAGGGGAGGATTGAGTGGCGTCTACGCAGGCGAAACAGAAATCCCGGGAGAAGTTTCATCTTATGTCTTTTCTTCGAAACGGTCAATCACTTTACTAGTACGAGGATTGGCAGGGTGGGCACTGTAGTCAGCGAAGTAGCTGCCTGTTCACAGAAACACTCCTGGCCAGGATAGTACGCAGAAACCATATAGTTGCCTATGGGGCACTGCTTGTCTAAAAGAAAGTTGCTTCGTTGGCCCTTTCACGGATTACCGAAAGGTGAACTGCCGACGTAGGATCAGCTCCAGTGCTGACTCGTGACACACCCGTAAAGCGCAACAGTAACTTACCCTCATTAGGGTAATGTAGTTGCTGTCAGTGCACAAAGCGACGCGCTGTGGGCAGTCAGACACTCCGGTAGATGGGTTCGTCAGATCAACACACGTTGTCGAGTTGGTAGCTTAATATTTAGATATTCAGTATATAACTATCACTAAAATTGTGTAGTAACCACGGCTCAGACGAAATCCTTCTCATTCGAAGGCACGCAGTTTCAGTAGTTCAAACGAACACTGAACATTTTCCTCGCTCCTTCGAGGTTATGACCGAAAAGAACTCACGGGATGTTGTTACTGTTGTGTTCGTGCTCGAGCATCTATTGCAGGTTCTGGGACACTGGGCTGTCATCAGGGTCGTATAGGCGGCATTGTTGCAGAGATATGCCAAGGCTGGACAGTCCGATACGCCAGTTGACGGGTTGACCTTGTCCACGCACGCTAAATTCACTGCTATTAGTGAAGCACCAAGCCTCTTCCGAAATGCCAGTTATCAAAATGATATTCAATAATTATTGAATTACTGTTAATTTTTCTAGTTATGAACCAGAAAGAAGAATAATCCTTCTCCTCATTAGCAAGAATCAGTTAAATTCCCGGATGGTCGAAGGTAGGGGCGGTTTGTCTAGGCAGTGGTTGTCCAGTATTACTAGAGGAGTGTGGGTCAGCTCTTAGGGGGCTAGGAGTTGTGCCTCGATGCCCGTTAGCCGATGACGTTGGACCAGGGCCTTGCAACACGCCTACTGCCTGTAATACAATGTCAGGAAGACTCAGACGTAGGCCTGACCCCGCCCATGTAATCGCTGACAGTTGTACGAGACAGCTAACAATGAATTGTTTTGCTGATTAAACGTCTATTCCTATCTAACCACGACTCCACTATCAATTATAAATACGATTTTCAAAAAGACGAGAAAAACAGGAGCGCTTACTTGTAGTGTTCGTTGAGGAGCCGGAACATCTTCCACATGTTAGCGGACATTGCTCGGTCATTACGGAATAATAAGTGGCATCATTGCATAGACTGGCGCGAGCCGGACAGTCCGAAACTCCCGTGCTCGGATTTAGTTTGTCGACGCATGATGCTGTAAAGGAATTTCATGCGCAAATAGGTGAAGTTAGTAGTTTCGCCTAACTCACTTGAGGCCGTAGAGGCCGATGAGCTGACCGTAGCCGTTGCCGAGGAGCTGTCATGCTCGTACCTTTATGCACCTGGGCTACTTGTCGCTTGCGTCGTGTACATCTGGTAACAACTGTATTAATTGGAAGGCCAGTACAACAAGAATTGAGAGAATTAAGTCGGGGAGTTCTCCAGCTTTCATCACAGTCGATATTAGGTGGTCTTGAGCCTTGGTACCCATCACTACGAACAGCGAGTGGACGATGGCCAGGGGTGGCGCGGATGCTGGGCGGTCGCCTGTCATTGGTGAAAAAAAGACGCATACCCCCTTCCCTTTCTGGTGCGTCCCCGTATAATGCTCGAAAACGGGGTCCAAAAAATGAGCCCCTTATTTGAAAGCTTTCTCTAAACGCTGCTCTCAACCAATCCTACCAAGAGATTTAACGATATTCCCTCAGAAATTATACAATTCGCTCATAATCAAAAGGTAGTGAGCAATATCGAGCACTGATACCTGTTGCTATTGTAGTTACAGGCGGGATTAATGGAAGGCATCAGGGCAGCACTTCGAGACCTCCTATGCATGTGAAACCGGGAGTGCAAACTCCATTCAAACATGCTGAAAAACTTTCTCGAAAGCTGCTCAAAGAACATCGGTGGATTTTTCACTAAAATAAAAAATGTAAAAAATGAATTATATAAAGGACAGGTTTTGGAACACAGTGATTTTATGTCATAAGCTTACAGCATGAGTGATACAGTTTCAGTTTTTTCACCTCCGTAGGAAAAGCGTTCTGCCGCGGCTTAGCTAAGGAGGTGGAGGAGGAGAGCAAAAAATCACCTGAGAATTTCTTCAAAGGCTTGGCACAAGATGGCATGAAACATGGAAAAGTCATGACAGGATGCTCCCAAGTTGTTCCTCAAGCAGATGCAGCATATCACCTCAGCGCCAACCGTCATGCTAAGGTGATGTCATCTGTCATAGCCGCTAGAGAGAGGAGGCCTACAGTATTCGCGTCACCGCAAAACAGCGGCAATTTCACGGTTGTCATTTGTGTGCAGACCTTCGGAGTGCGGTGATCCTATCGCTATGACTGTACGAGCCGGCCGTCCAGCTTTCCGGACACGTCGCTGCGGTCTATGAATTATTTTTTGGTGGCTCGAGTTTTCAGCTTGAGACAAGCGCCCTCAGACTCCAGGCACGTCGCTTTCTAAGTTGTTCTTAAGATGGATTGTCGGAT